CCTAAGATAAGGGGAATATTTTCATCTTCCTCTATGTCTAGTACTAGAAAATCGGCCGGGAGTATGAACTTATCTACCTTGACCAATACATCCTCCACTATACCTAAAGGGTGAGTAAAAGATCTATCGGCTAGCTGCAAGGTCACAGAAGTGGGCTTAATTTCTCCTAAGTTCAATTTCTCATAAATCGATAAAGGCATTAAATTTACGCTCGCCCCTTGATCACACAACGCCCGCCCAAAATACCTAGTACCTATTGTGCATGGAATGGTACAACTCCCCGGATCTCTAAGTTTCGGTGGGATTTTATTTGAAAGGATAGCACTACTTTGCTCATTTAAGTCTATTATTGCTGCACACTCCGGAAGCCTCATCTTCTTCGATACAAGTTCTTTTATAAACTTAACCCAATTAGGCATATGCTTAAGTGCCTCAACAAAAGGAATATTAACATGCAACTTTTTAAGATAATCCAAAAATGACTGAAATTGCATATCAAGCTTAGAGTTTTGAAAACGTTGAGGGAAAGGTACCTTGGGAGTAGGTTCACTTACTGTGATCTTTGTGTTGCTTGGCCCGACCTCGGTTTTTTTCTTGGGCTCCTCTACAATAGGCGGTGGTGCAACGGACTTTTTAGGAACTTCTTCTAATTGCCTCCCATTTCGCAAACTCACAGCATTGCACTGCTCGATGTTGCTCTTTCGAGGATCTTCCGTATTTGACGGCAGTGCTCCCGACGGCCTCGCGTTTAGTTGGGTTGCAAGTTGCCCCATTTGTGTCTCAAGGTTCCGAATGGATGCTTGAGTCGCCGCCATGAATTTTGCTAAGATGTCAGCGAGGTCAACTCCTTGGGGTGGAGCTTGAGGTGGTGCTTGCCTTTGTCCTTGCTGATTTCCTCCCCATCCAAAGTTGGGGTGATCCTTCCATCCGGGATTGTACGTGTTGGGGTACGGGTTCCTCTGTTGTCGGTTGGTGTCATGCACATAATTCAGAGACTCCGTTTCTTCTATGCGTTGGTCGGGAACTTGGACTGCGTGGACTTGCTGAGCCTGCAAAGCCGCTACTTGCTTCGATAGCTTCTCCAATTGGGCCGTGATTGTGGTGACTCCATCTAACTCCAAAATTCCGCCCGTCTTGACTGCTCCGCTATTTGACCGGTCCGATGCCCGCATGTATTTGTTCCTTGCGATCCGCTCCAAAAGTTCGTAAGCTTCATCATATGTCAAGCTCATGTACATACCGCCAGCTGCTGAATCGAGCACCGTTCTCGAATTATCTTGCAACCCGTCATAAAATATTTGAAGTTGCCGCCACTCTTGAAGACCATGATTGGGGCATCTCCGAATTAATTGTTTGAACCGCTCCCACGTCTCGAATAACGCTTCACCGGCTTCTTGTAAGAAGTTTTGTATTTCTCTCCGGATTCTCTCCGTTTTGGTTGGGGAGTTGTACGTATTCATGAAGAGCTGTGCTAGCTGGGGCCAAGACGAGATGGAATGCGGTGCACGAGTTTGTAGCCATTCTCTTGCGGCTCCTTGGAGAGATTGCTTGAAGAGGCGGAGCTGCAGTGCTTCCGGCGACACTCCGTTCATCTTATGCGAATCACACGTTTCGAGGAAGTTGACCAAGTGGAGATGCGGATCTTCATGAGCTAATCCGCTGAATAACCCATTATTTTGGAGCATAGTAAGTAGTCCCGCTCGAATTTCGAAATTGTTGGCTTCAATGGGGGGCTGCTGGATGCTTGATTGAAACCCATTGAGTGTTGGAACGGTGTACTCATGCAATGCTCGTTGACGAGGTGGTGGATTAATTAGCTGACGTTGCTCTTGCTCGTTGACGATCTCTCCTGCCGCATTCGGTAAGCGCCCTTGGTCATCTCCCCTACGATTATTCTCTTCTTCCATTCGCATAAAAAGTACCTAAACAAAAATAATTAAAATAAAATAAGCAAATAAAATTATAAAATAAAATAAATAAAACGGCTGAAGTAAGAAAAATTGCTTAAATTTGATATTAGAATAAATAGATAATATAGTCGTAATCCCCGGCAACGGCGCCAAAAACTTGTTGGGTGCTAAATACCAACACGCAAGTGCACGTATCGCAAACAAGTAATAAAGTGGACTCGTGAGAGTCGGATGTCGATCCCACAGGGAATACGCAAATTACCTAATCCTAAGTACCAAATTGTAACAATTACGATTTTTATCCAGCCTACGCAAGGTTGTCAAATTAATTAACTAAATAAATTAAACTAATTAAGAAAACAATTAATTACGAGAAAATATCAATATGAAACGGATCTAGGATTTTATCTTCCCCCTATGCAAGAATTGCTCACCCAAAACCCCTCAATTATGAAATATATGATTCATGATTATTAACCCGAGACACTAATTTACTCATAACCCGCTGTCGCGTGTATTATGAGTCTATTATTCATAAACGATTCACTATATGTCTATGCAAACCAATTATGAATAAAGCATTAACTAACAAGTCTCGTAAATGGCTACCTAAGGTGATATCTGTATGTCTACGACACCACATGCAATTGACACACTCATCCGATGAAAACTACTCGAAGGCTCTTCTAGTCACCGTCTAATTATCAAAATAGCTCTGTCGAGTCAATCCCAATAATCACAGATAAAGCACATAAATTGATCAAGTTCATGCACTAACAATCATATCAAGTAGAAGAAATAATCATAAAATCATAATTGCATAATCTCAAGAAAAAGGGTTCACAATCCCTACATAGGGTTCCAACAAAATCCTAGATTAAAAACTTATATAGCTACGCATGTTCGTTACGAAAAACATAATAAAAATACGAAAAATCATAAAACTATAAATAACAATAAAAGAGGAGAACTATGATGAAGATTCGTCAAGTCTTCGTCTTCGTTCTTATGCTCCTTGATTGCGTGTAGAAAGAAGAAAGATAAAAGATAGATGATAAAAAAAATCCTAATTGTGTGCCTGACTTGGTCTTATATAGGGTGAAGAACTTGGGGAAGAAGGCAGTTTCCTTGTGCAATTAAAATCCCTTTTCTGCGCAATTTCGGAGTCTCGGACGGGGGTCCCACGATTTGCACTAAAACTGGGACGGGGGTCCGAGCTTTAAATCTTCAGAATTTTGATTTTTTCACTTTTGGCCCATATTTTCTCCAAAATTGCAGTTTTGACCCCATACTTTTCCAATTCTTCAATTTGTCCCTAAAATACAAATAATAACCAAATTAAGCACCAATTATCGTAAAAACACATCAAAAGCTCCAATTAAAAGGTACAATTAAGTGTATAAATATACACTTAACAATAGACATGCAGGAAAATTAATTCAATGGAACGAATCGTTGGTTAGGGAGATTAGCCATGATTAACTAAATAATAGGAATTGTTTGATGTTTGATATCCGCAATAATTTGCCGGGTCGCCCGCAAATATTATGTTATCACGGCTTATCTTAACTTCTAGGCATATTTTTTTATTGGATCGTCGAAGGTCCAATAATATAACCGAGTTTCATTAGATGATTTAATTTTTTATTGACTAATTTTATCTTGCCAACCAACCAGGGCTAAGTATATTAATTGTCGCAGTGTTTTTATTGCAACTTTGTGATTGGTTGAAATCAAAGGCCGCCAACGTGAAAAGAAGTAGATCCTATAATTGGAATATATTATATGTTAATATAATTATTAATTAAGGTTTCCCTTTCAAATACAGAGACATTAGAAATTAGAATAGAATGTTACGTTGCCCTCCAAATTATGGAAGGCCAAAGTCCCTAATAAAAAAATAGTTAATATGATCCTAACTGGATTTGTATGAACGTCACACCCTACAGCTATTTTATGCCAACAAAACAATTTATTAAATATTTGTTGTCGATATCATATTTAATTATCATACTTTTTGGCCCACAATTGGGAGTTTAATAGTTTGTTTATTATAAAATCTAGCCACCTTTAATTTGAAACAAATTGACTAGATAATTAACACATTAAAAATAAAAACAAAGTTTAATGAAAATTTTTTTTTTTTTTTTGGTAATGAAGGAACCCGCAGCCAACCATATAGGTGCACTGGGTAAACCTACACTCTCGTATAATAGCTTGCAAACCATACGAGAGATGTAAACCACACTAGGCTAACCATGTGTGACAAGCTCGATGAAAATTGATTTCATTTGCTGTAGCTATTGATTAACAACAAGATTGTGGATGCATTAGTCATAAACAATGGACAAGTTGATTAAATAGGGATGAAACAAGGATTTGATTTGATCTAAAAACTTAGTTAATACATATATTATTGTATATATAATCAGTGTTTCAATCATCAAGACTTCAATTCTTGAAAGGTCACTAACTTTGTGTTGTTGGCACGTGTGGATGGAACCACAAAGGCGCAAGTGGCTACCATAATTATACTAAGTGATAGTCACGGTAACCCATAAGATTATGGTAAGCTCAAACTACGAAAAAATTTCTCATGTTTGAATAATTACAACCTATCGCCTCAACTATATATTGTCTAACACATTTATTCTTATTGCATCAAATTTGCCCACTACATGAGGGATTTTTTCGTAAAACAATACATAATTGAGGGGTAATTGTAATTAAAAAATTTCATAATTTGAACTGACCTCAGACGTGGCGTAATTTGCCCTAATACTCATAAAAAAAATCTAAAATTAATTTTACCATTATTATCTTTAAATTCCCCAACGCCTAGGCAAAAAGCCTACTTTCGTCCATGTATATATATGTGTGTAAACTGTAAAGGCAACACTAAAGAACTGGATTCCTCATACTATATTTATTGAACGATCGAACAACGTATCATCAGTTCTTGCCTATAAATAAATTTTCAAATTTATCATCGACATTTTGAAACTAAAGTGAATAGAATTAAAGATTTACAATTGTATTAGAGAATGTAGAATTCAGAAAATACCCTAGAACAAATAACTCGAAAACAGCTTAATAAAAAGAATATTGGAAAAAGAAAAAATCAAACATGTACAACACCGTGTAAGTGGTCATTTACAGACCTCGCTTAGTAAGATCTTACTTGAAACGGCACAACGAGTAAGATCTGGTGTTGTAAAATAAACCTATAAACAATAGATCATGAAATCTTCTGTTCTACCTCGTCACTTATTGACTAATACACATGGCACAGCTCACATATATCAGAAAATTGAATCAAAATAAACTATTCGATTCGAGAAGCTAACAATTAAAGCATTAAGAACACCCATTGGTTGTTGCCCAAGATCTTCTCCAGTGATGCATCCTTGCGGAAAAAATATTTAAAAAAAAAAAGGTGGGATTTGAAAGGACTAAAGAGAGGTTAAAAAATATTAAACTTAATCTATGCACAATATCCCAAACCGGGATTGAATCGCCTATTCACTAGTATCCAGCATTGCCTATTAAAAAGTGAAAACAAAAGTGCAATGAAAAGAAAAAAGAGCACGTAAAATGTGCAGGAGAACAGTTAACTCACTAATGAAGCAACATCGTCTCTGTTATAAGAGTCGGAAATGTAATAATGTGGGCATACTACTGCCATTAGGCATTAGTATTGCTTGACAGAATAAAAATCACATGGAAATCATATATGATTTTCTCGAAAACAAAATTTTGTTTTAAGGCAGATATTTTAGTAATGTGCACTCTTTGTGTAAATTTTTAAGCCCATCAATTCACAAAATACTTTAAATTAATGCACACAACCATCAAATATTCGACAAGCTTATACATAAACTATTCTGTAGAACGTAGACACGAAACAGTATAGCACAGTAGCAGACATAAACAGTGCAATTTCTACAAGGACAATATTCCAGATACACGTTGCATTTACTAACATATGGCGGGAAGGAGTACAAAAGTCTTTTAATTTGGTCTTGCTCTTATGAACACTTCAATGGTATATGATTGTTTCTTTTATCACTACTATACTTAACTTCATAAATTAAGTACACAGAAAAGATAAAAGTAATATATTTCTTATGAACAAATGAATGTTTTGACATAATTTTGATGATATCACTAATAAATGAGTTAACGAGCGTCACTCTCTATCTATCTTTGAAGTTTAGAAAGAAAAAAAATCTAGTCTTAAAGTCAATAAATTCGCATGATGGTTGCCGGTCACTAGATTCAACATTTGGAGCCCCAAATGATGACAAATAAACAGAAACTTCCTATTACACTATCGCTCACATGCAACATAGAGAACATATATCACAGCATGAACAACAAGTACAAAGGGAACACAAAATCTATGTTCGCATTCTCAAGCAAGTGGTGAATAAGCAAAGCCAAAAACAGGAGAACAAATCATCGCTACACTATTTTCAGCAGTGACAACCGATAGACAGTTCTCTCATTTGTATATTTCAAAAATCTGACCAAAATCTAATAATTAATCAAGAGAGATGTTACCTGTAGGAAAAGAACCAAGAAATTAATCAACCAACTCGCCAACATCCGACTTGGAATCATCTTTTAGAGAACCTTGCCTAACCAAACAATTTTCAAGAAGAGGGAAAGGAAAAGAAAAAAGGGTAGGAGAAAACGAAAAAAAATGAAGAAAAAAAAAAGAAGGAAAAAGAAAAAAAAGAAAAATACAAAGATGAGGAGAGCATATGAAACGCAATGCAGTTATATCGAAGCTTAAAATTTTATCCTATCAAGCAATTTTCCAAATTATAGCCAACATTATCAATTCAAATATATTGCAGCTCAACTGTCAAACTGCCGTTAGATTACCAAAATCTACAGTGGCATACCTTTCATACATAATCAGATGTAGACAATCATGCCAAATTTATCTGAACGAGCACCAAGAAAAAAGCATCCCATAAACCTGCAGCTTTATGGAATGTAACAGGCTCCCAAAACCAATAAATTCAAACTGAATGCAACTTATTATTAACCATATCAGACAAAACTATCAAATCCTGACGATGACTCCCCATGAGCTCATTCAAGCACATTAAACTCTAGATATGCTGTCTTCATCTTATTCCTAAGTGAATGCATTTATTTACTTAAACAAACATAAAATTCATCAAAACAAAATGACATTCGACATTAAGGGCGGGGGTGGCATCTTTAGCGCAGGTATTCAAACAACCGAAACTCAACAGAATGATGAGACAATTCATAAAAAAAATTGACATAAAGGAAAAGGTTGCATCTTAGGGAAAGATACAGAAATAACACAATTACCAAATATAAATTGACAACAATTAGCAGACAAAATGACATGACAAACAAGAATTCAACTAATTACTGACAGAGAGGTTATAATCCAGTATACATGAATTAAACAGTTCAGGAAAAAAACATTCCATGGTTGGATCTGAGATTGGCAGAAACACTTCTTGAATTGCTCTAACCAAAATAAGCACAGCTCCACACCCCAATGTAATCTATTCAGCGTCAAACCTGCAAAAGAAACAAACAGAGTACTTTTATCATTCGAAGAGTGATGGACCACCTAATCATCTTGACCATGAAAACAGAAGTCCCGATTCTTAAGGGTCGCCTTTCAACTGATCTCTAGTCAAACATCGACACAATAAACCCCTTAATATCATTCCACTGACTATGGCATTACTTTGAATCACTATCACTTCCAACCTCGTTATCCCTCACATGCATCGACTCGTTCAACCTGTCCACATAGACATCATCAGATGTGACAGATCTGTCATTTTCAGTCTCTAATGCTTTATCTTTGCTTTCAACAGGTATAAAATCATTTAAATCATTATCATTTTCTGCAGAGTTTGAAGGAGAGCGCTTCCCATCTTTTGACTTGTGTTCATCTGGACGCTCCAGAGATGCTTCATCTTTGCTTTCAACAGGTACAATATCATTCAAATTATTATCATTTTCTGTAGACTTTGACCGAGAGCGCTTCCTATGTTTTGACTTGTGTTCATCTGAACGCCGCCGAGATGCCTTACTGCCTCTCCGATGTTTCCCATCAGTTGACCTAGACCTTGAGCGCCTTTTATCGCGATTTCTTGATTTATCCTCTCTGCTCCTTTCATATTTCTCACTTGACTGATGCTTATCTACCGGAGATCTGGATCTGGAGCGTCTTTTGTGTCTAGATTTGCTTTCCTCCACAACTCTTGGGGGAGGAGATCTTCTTCCATTTCGATCCTCCACCGAATTGGATCTAGAGCGTCTCCTATTTCGACTCTTGGACTTTTCTTCCTTCATGCTGTCTTTCTTATCACTAGAATGATGTTTAACTTCATCAGACCTTGACAAAGAGTGGTTTCTATGCTGCTTTGATCTATCTGCCTCATCTCCTGAAGATGAAGATCTCCTCCTATGACGTTGAGGAGATCTTGAATCAGGGCGAGATGATTTCCTTGTTTTCTCGATTGGACTTTCCCGACGACGTCTTGATGTGCCTGAATCATCTTTACGTGACCTCTTGGTTCGAGGGCTCAAACTCCTGCTCCTCTTTCTCCTGGAAACAGGTGAAACATTATCATGTGATCTACCGATGTCTCGCCTCCTATTTCTGTCAATGACATCCCTACTTTCCCTGTAGTATCTTCTTTCTTTCTCATAACTTGAGTGATACCGAGATCTCACAGGCGATCTTGATCTATAGTCTCGGTTTCGACGAGGAGGCGAGTATGAGCGAGACCTCCGTCTAGGACGGTACTTGATGGGAGACACTGATTTGGACCTTGACCTGGATTTTGACTTGGCACGAGTTGGAGATGGTGACCTGAAACATCATTGCTTGTTAATTTAAAGATGACTTGGAAAAACTAGCTAAATAAAGCATAATTCTGGGACCAAAAAGTTTCCTGCTCAGACTTCACAACTCAAAGAAAAGTGACCGCGGAAAAAAAATGGACCCAGGCAGATAAGAACGGGGTAAATACTTCCGGTTCAAGTTTTGATGTATAGTAGCATAGCGTTTACTTCTTAGTTAAAATACAAAATGCCGGCAGAAATGCACAAAAAGAAGAATCTTTAACATTTCGATTTAAAAACCAGCGGATTGTAGTTATCTTTTTGTTGGTCAGGGTGATGCAAGGGCAGAACAAATTATGGGAAAAAAAAAAAAAAAAAAACATGTCTATTGCGCTGAATAACAAACTGTAAATGAAATATTGAGCATGTACAATGCTATATTTATCCTCATCCAACATATATTTACCAATCTTGAAATGGAACTCATTTATACACCAAAGAAAAGTCAAACAAACTATCCCAACATGACAAGATGGACGGAAACACCACAGCTGAAGGTCTGACAGAAAAAGGCAAGCTGAACAAAAATATACACATAGTTTATGATTTTGGATAGCAGCATTTGTTTCCATTTCAAACTAAATGCTAAATAATATAACTAGTTTATGTATCTTAAGAAATCAGGCAAATTCACATCAATGGCACTAATAAATATTTCCTTAAACAGTATTATTCAAGAATGCAACAAAAAAATCACAACGAACCTTGATATTCTATCAGAGTCCTTTACTTCAATAACCAGGCCATCAGCTTGCAACTTCTTACTTATTTCAGCAGCTCTGGCTGCAGCTAAATCTGTTGCAGACTTCATTGTCGCAGCTCTATTAGCTGCCTGTTGTGCTGTCAATGTTTGCTGCATCAGGAGAGCCTGCTGGAATTGCATTTGCTGCATAGCAACAGCTTGCTGCATCACCATTGGCAAAGACGACGAACCTAATGGAGAATTCAAAATGGGTCTTGGCGGAAGTGACTTAGCCATTTCGACGTTCAATGGACGACCGCCAACATCCATGTTGTTCAGTGCCAAAGCAGAAGTGGCTTCTTCCGCTTTCAAGTATTCGATATAAGCAAAATGTTTAGAATCGGTAATGATGCATTCCACAACAGTGCCACAAAAGCCAAAGAGCTGTTTCAACTGATCCACTGTAAGCAGTGGGCTGAGATTACTAACTTGTACCATTTTTTTAAGTGAATCTGCATTCCTCTCACTATTACCTAAACCTGGGAGATAGCAAGCACAACTAATTAAAACTGTTCAAAGTTGTTGAGGAACCAGTGAAACACAACATATGAGTCCAAAATTCAAAAACGCATGCAATTTGACTATTATTCCACATTGACATTGATGTTCTAGTAGAAAGGCTCGAAAATAAAACTGAACCAAGTCATGTTATTTGCTATCAAAGATGAAATGCGACAAAAAGTTTATAATTTAGTCTTACCGTATGAGTCTTTATTTGACTGAGCTTGAGCATGCGCTTGAAGGGCTTGAGCAGCAACAATTGCCTGGGCAGCTGCCATGGCAGCAGCAGAAGGTGCCATTGGCACTTGACTGAGAGTTCCCATTGTAGTGGTGGCAGCTATTGCAGTCATCAGCAGATTATGAGGGGGGTGATTAAACTTGCAATCAGTACTTGCACACCGCCCATTAAGGTATTCTCGACACATTTCTCCTAAAGATGACCCCATTCCAGGTAAAACCACTCCACCTGATGCTCCATTAACAACACCTGGAATCATTCCAAGCAACCCTGGGAAAGCACCAGACACAGAACCCGAATAATTTGGCATATTGGGCATGGTCTGGTTAATTAAATTAGGATATGAAGCTGGTGGAGCTATGCCAAGAAGCCCACCAGTGGGAGTCCCTGAACAACAGAAACGCAACGTTTAAAACTCTTGAAACCAAAGTGATTGCTCAATAAAAGTTATTTCTTAAGTAAAATGAAATGATACTGTTCAAATACTGAGGAAAACTAATAGGTACTTCTGATGTATTATCGGTGTAGAAACTATTCACATTAGGTCGGAAATTCTATCTATGTTTCATAAAGAACCTCAACATCTGATACAAATATTTAAATCACCGAAGAACTAGACATAATCAAAATAATGCATTAGAAGTGTCCAGAAAATAGTATATATAAAAAATATGTGTCGAGAGTATTAAAGCATAATATTGATACATATGATACTTTGTTAAATACTCAATAGACGATAGCTATAGCCGACAAAAGACAGAGCAAGAAACAAAAAAATATGACGCACACAAAAACAATCAATTGTGAAGATAAACCAAATTGAGAGAAAATCAGACTCAGATAGTTGTGTTAAATCTTCTTAGCCATGAACCAGTACAAAGTACTGGGTATTTGGTGCAACATAACAGGGGGCAACCATACAATATATTGACCACAAAGGCATACCTTATAACACAGAATGAAGAACCTACTTGCCATACATGCTTGGCAAATCCAAAATCGGATGAGGGCCTCATACAAAATTATTTCACATTTTTTAATAAATTGATCTACATGATATGATGAAAAAAGAAGGATCTATTTCACGGCGTATATGTGCCATCGTAAACCCAATTATCCAGTAAAGCAGGCTTTGACATCACCGCAGCCAATTGACACAACAATGACATTCTAGGAGCATAAGCACCTACATCTTTCAGTATATATAAGAAAATTATCCTACATCCTGCAGATCTACCAACCACTACCCAAAACCAATAAATTCGCACGGGGGAAAAAATGTACACCCAGTTTCTTTTCAATAGAACTTACTCGATCAAGTATTATTTCTGAATATAAATTAGTTTTAGGTCAGTCTGAAGTGTATAGTTAGACCACAAAATCAATGTTGATTCACCAATTTCTATAAACTACCAAAACCAGACACGAACAAACAAAGCCACACAACAATATCTTCTGGTATCAGCTATGTTTTTATCCAACATACATCAATGCACCGTGAGTGAAATCACACCCCCCACCCACATCATACGCCACTGACAAACTTCAAAGCAGTTGACTATGCCGTACTATCATTGAACAAGCGAACACTTCAATGTTACTAAACAAACCGAGACATTCACATCTAATATATCATCAATGCATCAAGAACTGATCCACTCGTAGCATATGTGCATGTATCCTAAAATTTCCTAGACATCCTTCTGAACAGTTTCCATGAGACCAGTGAACAAACAATCACCAAACAAACGCAAAACCAATGTGCGCCTTTCCAGTTTCAACATATAGTTATCTATGCTAATTAATCAGAGTATAGCACCAACGTCAACATATGAATACACGCATTGGCACCGATACATATGCCCATACATTTCATGCAATCCTGCTCAAAATTTACTTCAGGCGCTCCAAGAGAAGGTACTTCTAGTAGAGAAATGCAAAGTAGATCACAAACTATAAATCATCACATCAATTTTCAGTTATCCGCTTCTCCTGACATAAAATTATATAATACTCTATTTCATATTGATTACCAAAGCTACGCATTACTCAACACAAGTTCATCGGATAATTTCATCAACGATCAATAATATTCATTTAGCTAAATGTTTATACATCAATACATGCACTATCTGTTGATTATCAAACAAACAAACATATCACACACACACACACACACACACACACACACACACACACACACAAATTTAAAAAAAGAAAAAAAAAATAAGAATCTGACCTGCACTAAAGAAAACAGGAAACGGACTTCCCATAATAGGCTTCCCATTGCACTCAACATTCACCATATAATTCCCTCTCTTGGGCACAACGTAAGTCACACTGTAGCTTCCATCTCCCATATCCTTCACAACACCTTCCTGCTCAGTTCCACCAACACCCACACCGGGCGACACACGAACCCTCACCTGGGCCCCACCTCGGACCACCTTGCCCCCATCGGCGTCCTTCGTCACCACCATAAAAGTGGCCCCCGCGCAGGCGGTCCCGCCGGCAATCCCGGCGCCCTGCGCCGTGCACTTCGAGGGGTCCACCGGGCCCACCGAGCGTTCCCTCTCGGACGATCTCTCGTCGTCGGAGTCGGAGTCGGAGGAAGATGACTCCGCGATGGAAGGTAGAGCGAGCTGCTGGGGTTGGGCATTGAAGGTGGCTTCGAATGCGGCTTTAGCTGCGGCGGCCTTCTCGGCTTCGCTCTTCAGCTTGGCTTCCTCGGCTTGCTTCATCCATATCGGCTTGGGTGCCGGCGCAACCGCCAGATTGCTGCTGGTGGCCGTATTAACGGGACGATCGGCCATGAATTGGGCAATTTTTTTGCAGGAATGGCCGAACCCTAATTCAGCGTCGGTGAAATTGGGGACGTAATTTTATCGGAAAAGGGGGAAATAGAGTGCGGGAAAGCGTAGAATGGAGAGAGAAACTTAACTATGCATTCTGCATAGCTCTATTATTTGGAGGGTATTACTGGGTTTTCACTTAATATTTATTATTTTCTTTTTTACTTTTCTGCTTGTGGGTTTGGGATTTGAGATTTCGAGCGAATTTGGGGTGATTGGTGAAGAGTGAAGAGTGAAGACTAAAGATGAAGAAAAAAATTGACTATTTTAGGTTTTGTTTACAATTTGGAGGATTTTTTTTTCATTACAACAAGATAATATTATGTGTTTGTTTTTTTTTTTTACAACAAATTAAACTTTTTTTCTAAAATGAATCAGAATATTTTACTTTTTTTACAATTTCCTCATTAATTCTACAGTCGACTGTATTTCTTCATCAGTTATGTAGTCAACTTTAATTTCTTTCATTAATTATCTAGCATTCTACTACAATTTTTTAGTGTTAACTGTGGAAAATTTGTAGTCTACTGTAATTTTTGAATCAGTTAACTATATTATTATCCACTTGGCTAATCAATTTATCATTTCCCTTCTTTGATTCTTCAATCACAAGAAAAAACGAAAATATATACAACAACAACATCAACCATCTATGTAAACTTCAATAGAAAATTGTGAAATATCATTTTATTAGATGACTACATGCGATCGACAATATTGTTGTGGACTACAAATGTCTTAAACTAGCATAATGAAAAAGAAATCTTAATAATTCCAATGGAAGAACTCTCTCTCTCTGAACTTTACCCTGAACGACAAAACCCACCGGACCCACCCCCGTCGCCGTTAGAGACACCGGAACTCATCATGGAAGAAGCCACAACCAGTAGCCAAAAACCAACCTACTACAGCACCCAACAAACGGAAACCATAAATCAAAACATAAATCCACATACAACAGTAAACTGCATGACAAACAAAGACAACCGACAATATAACAACCAGCAAATCAACAGTGTTCATGGCGTGAAAGAAGGAATTTCTAACACAAATGGAGACTACGGCAGTACGGAGAACCAATCATATAAACATAAGTTTATTAAAGAATCAAAGCATGTGTACTTTGACACATGGTTTGAATATATTGAAGAAAATCAACAAACGGATGACGCAGAATACCCCGCACCACAGGATGACAAAGCCCCAAGAGTTATATTCACAGATCTAGAACTTTAAGAGATCAGAAAACCATGGAAAAAAAGTTTAATTTTACAAACAATAGAATACAAAAAATCGATCCCGGATATTGGACATAGATTACAACGTATCTGAAGACACAAGAAATCCTAGAAATTACAGAACTTGGCCAAGGATACTACATCGCGAAATTCAAGAACCCGGAGGAATATTTCCTTGCTTTGGCTGGAGGCCCATGGTATATGTTCCAATATTACCTGGACATAAATCAATGGCTACCAAATTTTAACAAGGAAAAGAAAAAAAAGGGGAAAATGTTTATATGGGCACAATTTACAGACTTACCCATAGAATATTTCTATACAAATGCTCTTTTTAAATTAGCCAAAGCTGTTGGAAGACCCATCAAGATGGATTGGCATACAAACGACCTAACCAGAGGAAGATATGCCAGAGTCTGTATTGAAGTGGAAACCCAAAAATCGTTACCTTCGCACATACATATCAATAATTTTCGACAGCCTATTGCCTATGAAATCAACTCACAGTTTTGTATGGTATGCGGTAAAATCGGACATATACAGGACCACTGTGTTCAAAGCACCAATTCAAAAGCTGCGGAGGAAACTATGACAGAGGAAAATAGATCTACCCGATCAGAATGGAGCATCATTAATAGGAAAGATAGGGGAAAAAAGAAAACAAATCTGATAGAAACATATGGACGGGGCAGTAGAGATATGCGAACTCAACAAAATATTAATATACCTGAAATCGCCGGAGAATCAATTACATTGAATACACAGGGACATAAGCAAAGCTACGTCTGGCGGGCCAAGCAAAACCAAAATACGGAAAAAATGGCTGGCAGAGGAGAACACGGAAAAAAAAGTGAGTTTACTCAAAACAAATTTCATGTAATAGCGTCGGAAGAAGAAACAGGGACAGATCACCGGAATTACACCACCGGAGAAGTTGACGGAGAAGAAACCAAAGCAAACATGACTACGGAACATGCATACACCCAAACAACTATTCCCGAGGAGCACCGAGCCACGTGTACGAAGGAGCAAGAATCTGTCTGACATGAAACATCGGGAAAAAAAGAAAATAAACCAGAAAAGAAAAAAGATAATAAACAAATAAAGAATAAAGAAAATATAAACGAAAAAAAACAAAAAAGGGAAAAAGATGGAAGCCGAAAAAACAAAAGGAGATATCCGAGGAGAATTTATTGCGTGCCCTAATAAACTTCCGTCTTTTGAGTTTCCGAGGACACCTGACGACATCAATGATGAGCAAACAGTAGCCTCCACTAGGGCTAAAAACCCCTTTTTAAACACCATGCATACGCAAAACACTCCACTCGTAATACCTCCCTTACAAACCCTTCCCTACAAAAAACCCGAAACGTCACAACCAACTCCGGAAAACCCTAATCTCAATGGCTTCTCGTCAGCAAAACAACCCCTCCCAGACCTTGTCAACCCCTCAACCGGAAACACCAACAACGCTTCAACTCTTACCCACCGAACCAGTGAACCCATCCCTGATCCAGAGCCCAACCCTGCAAAGACCAAACGGACACCACTACTCCTACTCTCGTCCGATTTCTCAGTACCGGAGATGGGTCCGACCGCTATCCAATGGGAACCCCACCCTGTCACTAAGACCTCCACACACGAATGGTGTGTTCCATCCCCGAACCCCCAACCCACCCCAGAACTGGCACTGGAATCGGCCGTACTCGAACGATCATCTGACCCCACCCAATCAGCCCACCAGACCGAATGCTCAAATGAACCTACATTCCCACCAGGGTTCGAACCAGCTTTTGAATTCTGTGCCAACCGCGAGAACACCACGAGGGCCGATGGCTCGCCCAAGCGACTTTCCCACGAGCCCAACACCTTTGGCAGCAAGACTCCGAAGCAGAATGATACGCATTTCTCCCAGCGAGTACATCATCCAAACTTTTCACACTACGCCACATCTTTTCCTCAGTCACCCTTTAACCCACAGCTATCAGATAGAAATCGGCCAAGAACGAGAGGTGATGCACAGAGACAGAGAGTTTCAATACAGGCTGATCATGAACCCACTCAGCCAACCAAACGAACCTTCTCCTCCACAGAACTCCCCGCCCACCCAAAACGGAGATGTAACTCCAGATACAATAGAAACAAGTACCAACATAGCTCAACCACCACCAACACAACAACCACCAATGAAGATCCTAGTATGGAATTGTCGGGGGGCCAATAGGCCTGATTTCCAAAGTGCAGCTAGAGATCTAGTTGCACGAAACCACCCTTCGATATTTGTGGTTCTAGATACTAAAATGAATACTGACCGTGCGTCTCATGCAGGAGCCTCCTATTTGATGAATCTATTTTGATTCCGGCAGATGGCAATGCAGGGGGGATATGGATCTTGTGGAACTCAGGACAAGTCATGCTATCACAGGTGCAGACTACTAACCGAATGGTGAATGCAATCGCCACAATCAACAATGGAGACCCACCGTTCCTCTTCTCCGCAGTCTACAACTATCCACAACCTCACTTGCAAATGCAGGTATGGAATCAACTAATGCATATTGCTACTACCAATTCTATGAACTGGTTAATTATGGGTGATTTTAATAATATCTTAAATGAAAACGAAAAAAAAGGTGGACGTCGACCTTCCTTGAATAGAATGCAACAATTTCGAGACTGCTTAGCTAATTGTGAATTAATGGATTTAGGTTTTAGTGGCCATCCTTTTACATGGAATAACCGTCAATATGGTAGATCTTTTATCTGTGAAAGACTTGATCGTGCACTTGCTAATATGTCATGGTATAATTGTTTTCCAAATACTAAAATCTATCACTTAGCTTCTAGTACATCTGATCATAGCCCTATTCTTTTAGACACACATCACTCGTCTCCCCCTAGAAGGAAACAATTTCGATATGAAAAAGCTTGGTCTAACCATGAATCTTTTGCTAATGTTGTGGCTGAATCGTGGGCTAGCAAAATTAACCCTAATTCTAATAATGAATTTCAAAAATTTTGCTGGATTTTCCGATCTAGAGCCAGTTGGTGGAAAAGAAATGTTTATGGAAATTTGGATAAAAATATTGAATATATTATGAATAGGATTGAAAAATGCACTTATGAACTTGATAACCATTATTCGATCCAAATTCATGAGGAACTAAACAGACTCAGAAATAAACATCAAAACCTCCTTAAAGAAAAGGAAATCTTTTGGAAACAAAGGTCTAGAGTCCTTTGGCTTAAGGAAGGAGATAATAACACAAAATTCTTTCATGCATATGCCACAAATAGAAAACGTACTAATACTATACACGGCTTAAAAATCAATAACCAATGGATTTACAACGTGGAAGATATTCAAAATTCTTTTTTGGAACATTTCAAAACTATCTCCACCTCCTCGAAACATAATCCAAACATTTTTCAAAACATTTGCTGCCCTCAACTAGGTTTGGAAGAGCATATTCCCCTTATCAAAGATATTTCAAATAATGAAATAAAACAAGCTCTTTTCCGCATTGGCCCAGACAAGGCTCCCGGACCGGATGGTCTTAATGGGCATTTTTTCCAAACATACTGGGACATTGTGGGACCATCCATCAATCGAACAATTTTTAGATTTTTTGAATCATCGGAACTTCCCCCTTTTTTAAACGAAACCAAAATCATTCTTATTCCGAAAAATAATAACCCCTATAATATCAATCATTTTCGCCCAATAAGTTTGTGTAATGTTCCGTATAAAATCATTTCAAATATTTTGGTCAATCGAATTAGACCATACCTTAGCAAATTGATTACGCCACTTCAAAATGCTTTTGTCCCCAAAAGGCAAAT